TTTATCCTTTGCCATAGGAAACTGCAATTTACTAGCAACAACAGCTGCTTTCTATAAAGTTAACATTGGCTCATATTTTAATACTTTAATACATGTGGATGGTTTCTACTGAAGATTTGATAGGGGCATCTTTCTTTAAAAAAGAAAATCTATATGATTAGGTTACCTTTTTAATATATCTTTTAGAGTCTATTGAATATCAGCCTCTTGCTGTTAAATTTTGCTTCAGATAATATTGTGGCAGTTCAGGGTTTTCCTTTTGGAGCCCTCCTATAGTCTAATTATACTTTCCTGATACTCTGGTAAATCTTCTTGAGCTAAATCAATTGAATCCTCTCTGAAGGAATAGATTTTGGTGCTAATGAAAATGTTAAACCTCAGTTTAAGCCATTAAATTCCTTATCACTTATTTTTATGGCTAAAGTAATAACTATTTTTATAACTCAAGAATGATTAATTATATCCTGACTCATACTTTGATATTATTCAATTTTTCAAAGTTTTGTTTCTGATGACACTTTATTTAAAGTACTGTCACATTCTTATATGGATAGACTTACCAAAGCCATCTATATCATTCATATATATATATATTTTTCCCAACTATTTGAGTTGGTCTAATAAAAGATATCAGATTTACCCAGAGAACCTTGGCTAAACAGCACCATTCCAATTTGACTTCCATTTCAATGATTCGATGGAATAGCGTTTCATTTCGAGTTTCGTTTAATTTTAAAAGCACCGTTCCATTTTATTTTGTTGAAACTGTTTTGCTGTTCGATGCTGTTTCGATGTTTCACCCATAGGTTATTATGGGGAAACATAAAATGCAGCAGGCAGGCAGATTGGGGGCTCACCCACACCCCCAGGAGGACTGCGGGTGTGGGCTGCGCCCAGTACCAGAGAAAATTGCTAGTGCTGCCTGTCCCAGGCAGCAGCGGCAGCCTCCCCTCATCCGGCATGCAGATCCAGGGGCTCAGACCCCGGGAAGGAGTCTGGCACAGCCTGGCAGTCCTCCCAGGATTGCACAGCCCAGGATCTGTGCCACAGATGAGAGGAGGCTCAGGCTGCCTATCTGACCTGGGACTGGTGCTGGGTGCGGGCTGTGCCCAGCACCGGACAAGATTACTGCTGCCACAACCTGAGCCTCCTCTCATCCGGTGCAAATCCCTGACAGCCTGACAGCCCTCCCGGGGATGCAAGTCCCCAGATCTGCACCCCAGATGAGAGGAGGCCGCCCTGTTGTGTGGGACTGGCGCTAGGTGCAGGGTGCGCCCAGCACTGGAGAAAATTGCTACGATAGCTAATAGTTTAGTTGTTAGGCTACATTTTTGGGAGGTGAGAGAAGTGTTTGAATCTCCATATACTCAAAAAGGCATAGAAACCTGACCTTCTTGGTGAGTGCTCTAACCACCTCTTCCAGCCTTATTTCAAAAAATAAAACAACTGGTTTTCTTTTTCATGGGTTCAGTACTGTCAGTGTGTGTTAGGGGCCTCTGATACTCTCTTGTAGTTAAACACAGCCCGCCCCCACCACCCCACCATCCTTTGTTTCTGGATCTCAGTAGAGTTTAGACATGAGCTAAGTGCCTAACTGTTCAGTGCAGGGTAGTTCTGGTGTGTACCAAAAATAGCAGTGCAAATACTTAAGAAATGTTTAACCCTAAGATTCAGTTTTAAGGGTTGCCAGGTGTAGCCATTCACTGAGCAGTGATTTTATGTACTTTTGGACTTGGTTGTACTACAAAATAGGCATGGTTATTTTGTGAAAGACCTCTGAAACTGTAGCCCATGAAAGAAAATGAAGAAACCAGCTGTTTATAGCATTGTGGGGTAGGAGCAGAAGAGATGCCATATGGGGGCAGACCACAGTGACAGAAGGTGGATGCAGGTCCATCTGCTATCAGTTCAGGTAGATGTCGCCTCACATGGGTCATGCATCCTCTTTGAATATCTCTGTATTCACCATCAGGTAGAATTATGACAAGGTAGAAGGATAAACTCTTCATTGAAAGGAGCCACAGGTTGGATGAATGGCCCGTAAGGTAGATAGAAGGCTGGCTGGATTGTTGGGCTCAACAGGTAGTAATCAATGGCTCAATATCCATATAGTTGGCAGCCAGTATCAAGTGGACTGCCCCAGGGGTCAATCCTGGGGCCAGTTTTGTTCAATATCTTCATTAATGATCTAAAAGGTGGAATGGATTGCCATCTAAGCAGGTTTGTGGACAACACCAAGCTGGGGGTATAGTACACATGCTGGAGGGTAGGGCAGGATTCAGAATGGGCTAGACAAATTGCAGGAGTGGGCCAAAAGAAATCTCATGAGGTTCAATAAGGACAAATGCAAAGTCCTGCACTTAGGGCAGAAGAATCCTGTGCACCGCTACAGCCTGGGGACTGGCTGGCTAAGCAGCAGCTCTGCAGAAAAGGACACGGAGGCTACAATGGACAAAACTCTGGATATTAGTCAGCAGATGCCCTTGTTGCTAAGAAGGCTAATATCATACTGGGCTGAATTAGTAGGAGCATTGCCAGCAGATCAAGGGAAGTAATTATTTCTCTCTATTCTACACTAGTGAGGCCACATTGGGAGTACAGTGTTCAGTCTTGGGCTCCCCGCCACAGAAAGGATGCGGACAAGTTGGAAGGAGTCCAGCAAAAGGCAACAAAAATAGTGATGGGGCTGAGGCATGTGACTACTGAGGACAGGCTAAGGGAATTGGGTTTATTTAGTTTACAGAAAAGAAGACTGGGGGGGGGGGGGGGCATTGATAGCAGTCTTTAACTACCTCAAGGGTGGTTCCAAAGAGGATGGAGCTAGACTGTTTTCAGTGGTGACAGATAACAGAACAAGGACCAGTGGTGTCAAGTTGCAGCAAGGGAGGTATATGTTGGATATTACAAAAAACTCTCTCACTAGGAGGGTGGCAAAGTACTGGAACAGGTTACCTAGGGAGGTGGTGGAATTTCCATCCTTTGAGGTTTTTAAAGTCTGGCTTGACAAAGCCCTGGGTATAATGATCTAGGTAGGGGGGATAGTTCTGCTTTGAGCAGGGGTTTGGACTAGATGACCTCCTGAGGTCCCTTCCAACCCTAAGTTTCTATGATTCTATAAAGCTGGAGAGGTCTTATTAGAAGAATAGGAATTAGGTTGGACCAGGATTCCAACAAACTCCTGTTTTAGATGCCCTCTTAAAAGCCAGTCTCATAGATTGTAAATAAGACATATTTGTGGGTTTTGAAGAAGTTCCAGTTTAAGTAAGGTTTTTTTACTTTTGTGGGTGAGGAATGTTTGTATATCTAGAGAGAGCCACAACTGATGTAATATTATATACTAATATAAAATACAATAAAAATTAATATTTGCTTCAGTCTGTAAGTAAAGGTGATATCTCCCAAACTGATAAGATGACCACAAAAACTCATGATCAAGCCAGTAAAAATCTCACTTCATTTATTGTAGCACTTATATAGTGTGTATGACTAGTATATCTAGCTGTAGTGATATTAAAAAGATTAAATTATAATCTATGGAGCTATGATCTTTTGCGTACTAAACACTGCAATTTCAAACAAAGCAAAAGGAAGACATCTAGCAAAGGTGATGCAATTGTCTAAATGCTAAATAAAATAGTTTTGCTACCTTCATATAATTATGTACAGGTTTTCCTCACTGTATGCGGGTTCTGTATATGCAAATTCACTCTTATGCGCCAATCCTTTTTATACCCCAAATTCATTATACATGAGGTAAATTCACTCTTGTGCAATCAGGAGCAGGTAAGTCCATGGGGGGAGGAAAAAGGGCTGTGGGTGGGGAGGGAGAGGGGGGGGCAGATCGAGGCCTCAGCGGTGAGAGAGGGAATGGGACACAAGCAGGAGCAGGGGCTGGGGTGAGTGGGGCCTCAATCTGCCCTCCCACCAGTGGTGAGGGAGGGAGTGGGAGTGGGAGTGGGGCTGGGGCTGGGGCAGAGGCAGGCACTGCACAGACAGGGTGGGGTGCAAGACAGGGGTGCAGCTCCTGCTGCTATGGGCTGCCACTGTGGGCCAGGGCCAGGGGCTGTCCTGCGCTCAGAACAGATGGCAGTGGTGCTGGGAGGGGAGCTATGGGAGGGCTGCAGCCATCCCAAAATTTGCCATAGCCCTCATAATCCCTATCCCAGCACCACTACCACCCGCTCCGAGCACAGAGCAGCCCAACCCCCATCGAAAAGTGTCCAGCAGCAGCCCACGGCAGCAGGAGTGTGCCCCGCATCCTGCACCCCACCCTGGCTGTATGCAGCACCTGCCTCTGCTCCAGCCCCAGCCCCACTCCCTCCCTCACTACTGGGGGGGTGCAGATCGAGGCTGAACTCACCCCAGCCCCTGGGTCTGGACTCTTCCTGGAGTGGGGGTTGCACTGCTCTGCACTCCAGGCAGGTAGCAGTGGCACTGGGAGGAGGATGGGGGTGTAAAGTGAATTTCGGGGCAGCTTCAGTCCTCCCTATAGCCGCCTCCCAGTGCTGCCACTGCCTGATCAAGCGCCCACCAGGAAGAGCCTGGCACCACCCCGGCCCCAGCCAACTTACCTGCTCCCAATGCAGTCAAAGTCTTGAAACGTATCCCTATTTGTTACTTTGTAAAGCAGGTTCCCTTTATGTGAATTTGAGTTATGCTCAGTTTGTCAGGAACGCATCTACTGCATAAAGCAAGGGAAACCCATATACAGCACTGACACAAGGTAAGGTGCTCTATTCCAGCACAAAGTTACTCCATGAAATTGAGTGTTACACAACTGTAGGTTTTGTGTGTTCACTAAGGGTAGCTTTTTGCTCAAGGCAAACAGGCTGTCACCTTCTCTCCTCCCCTTCACACGTTCCAACTGGTAAGGCCAACCAACCAGCAGAAACTTCTCACATCCTTCCTCGGCCATTCAGAGCTGAGTATAAGTTTTCTTTAGGTGGTGTTTGTGTCATTACTTGGCTTGAAAGTGTGTGCAAGAGAATAAAAATACTAACCTGGCAGATGATGCAGGGATAAGTTGTCTTGAGAAAGAAGCAGGCAGTCATCCTCTGTAAACACTCCTTGTCTCCTTTTCCTGATATTGACTGATGAATGGGCCTTCTAGAAGGCTGAAGAAGGGGAAAAGGAAACTGTAGAGGGGGAAGAAAAAGCATGTATTTTATTTCGAGAAATAACCTATTATATATATATATATATATATATATTGCCCTGAAGCAAAAAACAGTCTGAAAAATGCTAAAATTGGTGACAAATAGCAAGATATTTGATTTGTCAAAAATTATTTTGCTCAAACAAAATTCCAAAAATGCTTTGTGGTTTTGAAACTGTATTTTAACGGGGAGGATATTAACACTTATGCATACAGTATGCTTGATTTTCAAGAAATATACTGTTCTGATGAGTTCTAGTATTTTTGTTCTGGCCTGCTCACATATCTTAAATGAAGGCATATATTAAAACTATTAAAAAGCCTTTTTTTCTGCTTTTCTATTTGCATTTCACTTAGCAGTGAGGAAATGTATTATGAAAAATAATGAACCAATTTCCATATGTGGTGGTTGAATTTTTTTCAGTGGAATTTGACCCAGTGCTCAAGTCTGACATTTTGTTGTTTTTGTTTTGTAATCAAACAACAAGACTTTCCTTTAAAAGAACTTCCATTATTAGTACAAGAATATTTACTGATAATATGAAACATAAATGCATGCAATATGAAATGCAGATTGGGCCAGAGTCTCGGCTGGTTTAAATTAGCTTTGGGCTATTTTGTACCAGCTGAGAAACAGGCTTATTTAAAAAAATATATATATATTTAGAAGTGTAGCTATTTTAAATCTGTTTTTTAACAGCCTTCTCCTATGAAGGTATTCCCGTGGAATCCTGAGGTTATATTAGCAGAAGACAAACTACAGATAGTTTTCTATTCGAATTATAATCAAAATAGTAATTGATATGTGGACTTTTAGACAAATATATTTCAGTGTCATAGTTCATTAATCATATAGTTTACTGGTCTTATGCAAGTATGTGTTTGCCAACAAGACCTCTTCCAAAAGCCATCTGTTTCTGAACTGCAATTAATTTCTTTATGCAAGAAGAAAGATCTTGTCTGTTAAAAAATGTCTTAGCAATTTTTTTCATCTCAAGTTCCCACTCTGGCAGCTATACCTAGGCCTCAGGAAACTACTATATTCTGTATCAGCATTGAAGATGTTGGTTCCATGTTGAATACATACACCGAATCAAAGATAAACAATCTCAGATAGCTGTGTGTGTTAAGGTCTTGCATTAAGTTTGATATTTCTGTTGCCTAATCAATTGACACTTATTTACCTCAGATATTGTCCAATCCAGGGAATAAAACTGGTAGTTAGGAGCCATAGCCACAGGCAAGGATGGTTTGCACCATTTTCTTTTGACCATAATACCTACAGTGGGTCATCAAAACAAATCATTTTCAAGATCAGCAATCTGTCAAAGGCTACTGCTCTTATAATCAATGCTGAATTAGAGACATAGGTCAAACTTTGGACATTCCCATTTCCTATCCTGGAAAAAACGTGCTCTGACTATCATTGTACCTAGGTTTGATCAGCATGATTAACTTTGTGACCCATTGTGTTTCTGTGAGTCGAAAATCAAGTAGAATGCTGAAGTGTCGGTTGTTAAAAAAAAAGCTCAATGTGCTTCAAACAAAAAGTAGCATTTAAACTATACATTATAACCCCTGATATCATTGTATATTTGTCTTGATTTCTGTTATAAATACACATCGTTTTGTAGTCCAGTCCCCTCAGGAGAGTTAGTTGCCTTTGTTAATTGCTTAAAGAAAAGCCGGTGTTTATTTCCCCTTCACTTTTCAAAGGTCTCACTGTACAATGTCAGAAGATGGAACATGTCTGGATAGATGCAAACATTCAGCACTATTTATAAATAACATGATCACAACACACCTGGAGAAATATGAACTGAGCAAATATACCCATTAGACTGCATAAATCTACTAGAATGTTCCTAAGGGTAAAAGCAATGGATTACATTTATTTTCATTTTCAAATAGTGGTCAGAAAATTACCATCATAGATGAGGTTTTGTAAATATAGCCCAGAAGACACTAATTAATTTGTTAGAAAGTGGAGGGCATATTTGAAAAGTAAAAGGTCAGGAGAGAAGCAACAAATAAATCATATAAGTATGACCTCTCAAAGCAAATCCCATTCTTTAGCTGGGTGGGCCAACTAGCAACAAGAAAGAAAAATAACTGGTGAAAAGCAGAGGAATTATTAATAGTATGGTGTCAAACATGGAAAATGGTGTTGACTAGAGTCCCCCAGGAGTCTGGGCCAGGTCCAACATCATTTAATCAATTCATTAACAACCTAGAAGATGTAGTATGGCCCATATACTGATGCAATTTGTTGATGATAAAAGACTGGGTAAATGCCTCTTTGGAGCATGGAGGTTAAGAAAGTATGTGATTTTGAATGATTAGAGAAAAGGGAATACAATCAATTAAGATTAGAGGGACGCATGCAAAATAGTTCATGTGAGAAAAAATAGTTATGCAAATCACAGAATGGAGGAATTCTACATACTGCAATGCTTGGGGGTTTATGGGGCCAGATTTTGTGAGGAAAAGTGTTCCTCTAGGAAACTGCTAAGTATCCTCACCTGCTACTGAAGTCCGTAAATTGGATTATGTAGCACCTTGCTAATGGAACTCCTGGTATGTCCCTAAAGGAATCAGATGAGTGAAAGTATTAGCTTTCATTATCATGATACTATTTATTATAGGACAGACTTCAGCATGGGTTATACAAGCTCACTGGGGCCCCTGAGTATATTGCTGGTTGCTAGCTCATGTTGAATTACAAGGCAAAATGGCCTAAAACTGTTTTCACCTTTAGCCAATTTATTATCCTGCAAAGGTGTGTGACTCCATGTAAGCCACAAATACAGAGAAGCAGGAGTCCCCTGCCTTTTAGCCCAACATCCCACTAGTTAGGGCACTTACCCAGAGAGTGTCACAACCGGATCGTAGGCCGCCTACCTTTACAAGGAACTTGACCGTCCCTTGCTATTTCACAGCAACGTGACCTAATCAAAAGTCCATAGGCCAGGCAGGACCAAAATGCACCCTTTGTGCTTCCTGTTGAAGCTGGCAACTGGCAGATGAGAGGGGAAGGTGTATGCGCCCAGAAAAATAGCAGGCAAAAGGGAATGTGGCTCACTGAGATAGACACTGCCCTACAAAAGAACAATCCTAGATTTTTGCCAGATGCTATGCTACCTCTGTTTATTAACTGTATAAACTGCAGTCATTCGCCAATGACAGCTCAATGCAGAAATACCAGGGTAAGCAGGGCTTATAGTACTCAAGCCATGCTTTCCTTCTAGGGCAATGCTCACCTTATTGAGCCACATTTCCTCTCACTTGCTCCTAGTAGCATAAGTGGGGCAGGACAAGGGGGGGCACTCACCCCAGGTTGTGACTATGAGGGGGTGCAAGGATCACTCCTGATGGAGTCTTTATTGTGGCAAGAAAAGTCCTGCACTGCCTCTGTCCAGCCACAGGAGCTGGACAGGGCAGTGCTACAACAAATGGTGTCTGGAAGGGTGAGTGTGGTAAGCAGTATGGTGCTCCCTCGTCCCTCCCACCCAATCTACTGCTGTTGACATACCATTGTCACTGTCCCTCCGCCCCCATAATAATGTCACTGCTTACTCCACCTCTCCTCTGCTGGCTTTAAGCACGTAAGTGTTAGATACCTCCCTGGAAAGAGTGAGGGTGCCCAATGTCTTTACTATTGTTACCCATTCTGCCAAATCAAAGCTAATATAAACAGAGCTGAGATTGCAGTGTGTACACACACATGCACAGAACTTCACAGGATCAAGTGTAATAGTTAACTGATGAGTTAATGATTTTCCAATGAACAGATGCTTTTAAAAACAATTTATTCATATCTGTCAAGGAATTATGAGGACCAACATTTTAGTCTTGCTTAAATTGACAGCTATTAATAATGTTTTGCATAAATATAGCACTTGGTACTATATAAATATTATTTGCAAAGTAGTGACTCTTGGATATCACAGTGAAGGATATCCTAGATAGATAGTTACCATATTATTGAGAAGTGATTTAATATATTTTGTAAATGAAGAAGATAAGGCTTAGAAAAAATAACTTGTTAAATTTCACACACTAGAGCCCAGTTCTGCTGACTCCAAAGCACTGTTTAATCAAGGTGAGAGAACACAGTGCATTAGATGATGGATGAAAACACCTGAACCCTTCAAGTCAATGTGGATAATTTTAAAACTAAATTCAACCTAAATCCCAGCTAAATGCTTACAAAAATGTATTTGGATCTAGCCCAAAGTATCTGAGTCTCACTCCAGTATCTGTTCCCAAAAAGAATGAGAGACTCCTACGTATCAAGAAGTAACTCATTTACTTGTTTTGCTTGTAAGACCTGAAATTTTATGTATAATGTTACAGGGCAAATAAACCACACCAACTGTGGTGCCAGTAAGTAGGCTGCCATGATTCATGAAACATATTGTGATTGACTGCCTTTCACCCATATCCTTGTGAAAACCAGTTAAAGATTTATGTTTAAAATTCTGTCCACCATTTGCTTTGGCATACAAAAACAATAAAACATTTCCTAAACTACCATTGCAACAATCTGAAATGTTCCATCCATGCTTTGAAAAACAGTTGTGTTTCAGTTAAAGATACAGAATAGTATAGTGTTTTGGCAATGGAACCAGATGGAAAAGGCTCAGAGACAAAGCCCTAAAGAAAAAGATGATTTAGCAGCAACTATAGCAGCCTTAATATCAGTTTTTGGCATGGAGAGCCTCTTTAAATAACAATGCTACCATATGTTCTGTAATTCTTTATTTGGCAGGCTATTTTCTATTGTTAAGGAACTCATTTCAATATCAGAAAAGTGTTATCACCTGTGATAGACCCACACGTTTAGAATTTGTTGAGAACAACACTAATCCTGTTGTCACCTTTTCAAATTCATGAAGCAGTTAGACATGCAGACTTACACTGAGCAGGCCCTCTTCCAAGTAGAGAATCATCTAGAGCAAGCCTACTTGTTAATTTACTGGACATTTTACAATATGCAGTAGTAAAGTATTCAAAGGCTAGGTGTAAAGGAGAACAACATACATTTGAAATAGAATGGCCCACTGACATGAAACACCTAATGAATCCAAATCCCATGAACTACCAGGTAGTGAGTTCAGTTTCAGACTTACTGTCCATTTTCTGCTGTTGGTGCTTGAAAACAGTGAATCAAGAAAATTGTTTTGTCAATAAAAATGCCATAGAGAAGGCTAGATTCTATAAAGATGTTAAGGATATGTCAGCACAGCACAATGCAGTGCTGTGTTGAGATACTCAAGCTAACTCTGACTGAGCAACCTCAACTATTGTTAAGTAAAAAAGCTATATAAGCACTGTGTTCTACTTGGGCTGATCAGCCCCTGCCCTCAGAAAACCAATTCCAGGGGTTACTAAATTGCAACATAGTTTGAATTCTTTGTTCTTTTCAGGACCAAAAATATGCCGTACCTTCGCCAAGAGCAAAGTAACTTTTAGGGGAAAACTGCCTACAGATAAGTCACCTGCTCTGTTATACAAAGAAATCTACTTGTACTTTTTTGGAATGTACATTGTAGGAATGTATGATTCCCTTTTTTTTAAATTTACCTTTAAAATGATACTGGGATATTATAAAGTTAAAATTATACTCGGCTATACATCTGTACTATCTACTTGTACTTTTTTTGTAGACGTGTACAATTCCCTTTTTTAAAGTTTGCTTTTAAAATTATACTGGATATTTAGAAAAGATGCTGTTAGCTTCACCTTCTGTTTTCTAAGGTGTCAGTCTGAGCATCCCTACTGTGCGTACCATGGCATAGTAAGGGTATGTACAAGCATTACAGTCCAACCGGTAGAATCTGCAAACAAACATTCACAATGTTTCAACCAGTTAAAAATGGCTAATTGGTGAAAATCTCCACTGGGTCACATGAGGTTGAAGTGCCAACTGACTGAGATTCAAGCATTTGAATGAATACTTGCATACCACCCTAATTAATTGGAGCAGCAGGGATGCCCTCTAGCATGCCAGCATGCCCTTCTCTTTGCCCAAAGAATCGTTCTGTGACTCTGGTTGCAGTCTAATGCTGCAGCTCAAATGACAGCAAACCCTTCCTTCTGACAGATGAAGGGTGGGGAAAGCCCATCCTCCTTCCACAGCCCTGGGGCTGTGAAGATGTCAGCATCCCAGTCCTGAGTTAGCAGGGAAAGCCCCGTGCTAACACTGCCCACAGAGAAAGTTCTCCCCATGTGGCCAGAGCTACAGTGCTGACCAAAGCAGAGGA